CAGTAGAGTGGATTTCTCTTTTAAGCCCTGCCAGCATTCTTACACAGCCAGCAAGCATGATCATTCATATCCCAACTCTGGTGATAGTTACTACTCCTTAAGCACTGTCTAATGGATGATCGTCACTGTGTGTGCTTAGATGGTCATCTGGGCTATAGTGAAGGAAAGCTTACTAAGTAGTAAACTAAACAACATTTAAGTTCCATGTGTTAGGAAAGGAACAATAGATAATACAGAGGATTTTTTTTTAAATAAGGGAACTTTATGCAGACACAAGATGTTTATCCTTATATTTTTCCATGCAAGTTATAAGCTAGAATCCAAGATATAACACTTTAAAAATGAAATCTCTACCCAACAACTGCCAAGACTGTAGTTAAAATTGACTTATAGGAACTGAGAAGATGGCTTAGTGGGCGAAATGCTTGCTGTGCATGCATGAGGACCTGGCTTTGGATGCTCAGCACACGTGTACAAGCTGGGCACAGAGCTCACACCAGTAATCCTATAGCCGATAGGCAGAGACAGGGTGATCCCAGAAGCTCGACCAGCCAGCTGGTCTCACTGAATCTGTCAGCTCTTTGTTCAGTAAGAGATACAGCCTCAAAAAGTAAGAGGGGAGCAATGGAGGAAGACAGCGTCACCTCTGATGGTGACCCCTGGCCTTGCTGCGTGATACATGGACACGTGCACTAGAGTCTTAACAGTTTCTCTCTTTACACGTGATATCTGGAAACAAAACAGTGGGAAGACCAGCTGTGCCTTGCCAGGAGATAACGCTCAGAAGGGTAGCTAGTCCCGTGTGCATTTTGTTCACTGTGAGTCTCGGTCCTGCTGCCCTGTCTACACTCCGCAGTTTCTGCTGCTGGACCTTCTGTAAAATACACTACTCACTAAGTGTTTAAGTTTCTCCCCCACTTCCCAGTGGTACACGCAATAAAATGTTTGTTCACATGTGAAAACTTCTTATTTACAGTGCTGTTACATGTTCCTGCTCTTACAAATGGTAATTCTGAGACTAAGCCACTTAGCTGTATTCTTTAAACTTATATATTTGTTTTAAAACCAAAACTTAGAAAATAGAAAGTCATATTTAAAAATATGGAAACTTTGTCTGGAACTGAGCACCCTGCAATTAATCATACAGTTTAGTACTACACAGGAATAGCTAGAAAGCCATAGTCTTTAATTCATGGAACGAGCAAAGGTTCAACACTTTTCCACTTGTGTGAAGAAAATTTACTGTTGGTCTCCGCTCTTTTCTTATGCCTCTTCTAACTTAGTCTGTTCTATTTTGTTGTTGTTGCTGCTGATTCTTTTTGTTTATGCTGGAAAAAAACAGAATAGAAAAAATGGACATTAAAAATATTGTTTGAAAAAAGTTAAAGCTACTTTTAGTACAATGGTATCTATACACATATATGTTTCCTATATTTTCATAAACATGAATATTTTGCTATATTTATAACAATATGTTATATTATTTATATTATTATAAATATATTGTTATATTTATATAAAATAACCACTCTATACAAATCATTCTCTTTATCTTTATACTTTCATTATTTTCTATTATGTACCTAATTGGTTCATCAACTCATGCATCCAGACTTTCCAAATTGCCTGGTTTAGCTGTTCCAGGCTTCATTTCCTGTTGCTGTTATAAAAATATCCTTACAAGGTCAGCTCAGGGGTGAAAGACTTCCTTTGAGCTCACCACTCCAGGTTGTAGTGTCTCATAGTGAAGAAATCAAGGGAAAGGACCCCAGCAGCTAGGCAAGACAAGCAGAGCAAGAGGGAGACTCGGTCCGTGTCGGAGAGCGCATGCTCTCCTTTCTACGTAGTCCAGGACCCAGACACAGACAGCACACCACTTCAGTCAGACGCCTTCCACATAACTTACTGTAATCAGGACAATCCCCGTAGACATACCCCAGCCACGCTAATCTAGGCAACCCTAACTGACACCGCCTTCCAGGGCTTAAATTTTCTTGTGTCCTCTATAGTAGAGTAAATCCCTATATAATATATATGCCAGCTAAAGGAAGCTACAAATATCTGCCTCCATCTCCCAGTAAGCATATATTTATGTTAATAAATATTTATTAACATACACTCTGTCAAAAGTATTTTTTCCTTATTGTTGAACTAGATATTAATTGATTTGTTCCTCTGTATTTCTTTGTTTCCATTAGGTATTTTTTACATTGTCATTAATTTTGTAATAAATATAATTACAGCTTAAGCTATACTCCTTGTTGAGTTTCACCTTAGCTTAAATCCTGAAAGTTGAATTTGTAGGCTAAACAGTATGCTTTTAAAAAATATTTAATCCATGTTGCCAAATTTCTCTTCAGAAATATATCACTGAGCCAGGTACAGTGCATATCTACCCGCAATCCCAGCACTTGGAAGGCAGAGCCAGGAGGAGTGCCCACCTTAGGCCAGCTTGGTTAGATATTAAGTACCAGGTTAAGCCAGTGCTACATCACCAAGACATTGTCTCAAACGCAGAGAAACAGAAACAGCACACAAACAAGCAAACTACCAGAGAACAAACGGAAGCCTCATTGATGCGTACATAGCGGTGCTGAAACTGATCACGTTCCAGACCCTTAAGAACTTATCCTCTGGTATAGTTTCTAGTGTGACAGGACTGTGTTCCTAACCACAGTGACAGTTCCAAAGAGTTCCCAAGCAAAGCATTTGTTTGTTTGGTTTAGTTTAGGTGATGCTAGTGAGGGAAGGACAGGAATCCTACCCTCAACCTCCTCCTCCACATGTGAGTGGGATGGATCTGCTCTTCCTCTCAGCCCTGGGGTTAGTACAAGATGGAAAGCACACTCATTTCATAAAGCTGTCAATTTACTCCCAACCATAGATGTCCAAAGTTATGTTAAAGTGAGTATACCTGTCTGTATAACCATAGTAACATCACAATATTTATTATTTATTTATATTTAATATTTATCATCTACATATTGCTTTAATAGTTTCCATTATCATTTTTTAATTTTGATTATGGCCTTTGTATCCAACTATGCAAATTAATAAGAAAAGGCAGAAGATGTAACAGGAAATATTGTGTATGTCTGACTTGCTTTTTATGGAGTAGACTCAGTGCTTCCTTAGTAAGGTATGCATGCATACCACTGCACACCCCTATGCCACTGGAATGCTGTTGGTACGGCTGCGGGACATATGCCTTTATCTTAAAGCCTTCCTCTTAACTAAACTTTCACATGGCTGAGGCTTTTCTTTTTCTCCTGGGAGCATGCTCCAAAACTCAGATGTTAAACCTTTGTGCTTATTTACCACGAATCCATGAGCTATCTGGAAAGAAAGATGTTTCATATATCCAGATACTGTACTTCCGAAGGCTTCACACAGTTTCACTGAATGATGGCAGCGGTGGTGACAACTCTCAGAAGGGAAGCAGAGTCTCTATCGCTCTTGCTCTGAACCTAACATTGGCCTGGAGCCATCTTGTTAAATAAGGGAACTGAAAATCAAAACAGTTCTGCCAAGGTTAGATAGTCAGTCAGGAGAGCCAAAGATCAAACTCTGGTGTCCTGAATCAGGGCTGTGTACTTTCCAACAGTATGAAGGGGCTGTAATAAAACCGTTTAGACATTTTAATCCCCTGTATTCTTTAGTCACAGGTATAAATGTCATACTACTGTTGATAACACATTTTGGAAGGCTTTACCCTCTCCATATTCCCAAATATTATAATTTTCATTTATCAGCTTTTTCTTACAAATTATTTAAAATAAATATTGTTTTTTAAATGATAAACCTACGGCTCAGAGTAGAACAATCGATCTTCATAATGTGTCCGAGACGTCGCAGCAGGGCTGGGAGCCAACTGTGTGACTGCCTCCCACGGACTTTACTCTGTTCTCTCTTACTTATTAAGAGAACAAATTGAAAAATTGTTAGTTTGGGGTACTATAAAAATAAAAGCACTGATTTTTCTCTCTGCCTCCTTTCTCATTAAAATTAATATGAGGGATAAAATAATTCAATGTAGTTTTAAATTTTCACATTGGCCTTTTTCCTTTTAAATACTTGGAGATATTTTTGTCTGTTGGGTATTTATTCCTTTCTTTTACTATTCATGTGCTGAACAGTCCCATCCTTCATTATCAGGGCCACAGTAAAGCGCAAATGATGACTCCAGTACCAAATCAAAATAATGGTGCCTACCTAAGTTTCCCAGTCCCTTCACAGGCTGCGTCCTTCACACAGCCCCGGGTTTACAAGGAGCAGCTGGGGAGCATGCGCGCAGAAGTTTCATCCCCACTGCCGGCTACTGCTGCAGAGGAACGGGGAAACTCCAGAGGCTTGACTATAGTTTATTCCCTTTGCAGTATTAGTCTTGTCCGTTCCCATGTTTCAGTAGTTCATTACTTGTTTTCTGACTCTGTCTAAACATATGAGGCAATTTTTATTTTTGAAAACTTGAACCAAGACAATAATTTCAAACACAAGTAAAGAAAAACAACTTTTAAATGCTTAAAACTAATGAAAATAGCCCTCTAAGAAAATGTAACCGTCATTAAATAAGCCTTCTTAAAGCACATGTGGCCTTGCCGCAAGGCCTGCTCTTACGTAAGCCCCTGAGTTGTCATCCATGACCATTGCCCCCAAGAGTGGAAATTGTGAGTCTGACCAGTATGCTCTGCTTACTGCCCTCGAAGCTGGCCTAGAACTTACAGACACCATCCTGCCTCCAAGGTGCTAGGACAAAAGGCGGGTGCCACCACGCCTGGCAAGTCTGACTTTTTGCATAGCTGCCTTATGTGTTACAGTTGCCTGGATAGTGAATAAAAAGTATTTAAGATTATACTACTTGAAAAACTTTAAATCCTAAAAGTGCATTCCGAAAAGAATAAAATTTGATTGTCGTATTCCTGATGCTTCATCTAAAATACCTCTTCTGTCTTTTCCCTTGCCACTCTCATCTTCATTTGTAATGATCCACCGGCTGACAGTGTCTTTACATCCAAAATGCAAAACAGACAGATGGGCGTGTCAGGGAAGAACATGACCAAAAGCACCAGCATCAGTGGAGACATGTGCTCACTGGAGAAGAATGACGGCAGCCAGTCCGACACTGCTGTGGGCGCCCTGGGTACCAGTGGCAAGAAGCGGCGATCTAGCATTGGGGCCAAAATGGTAGCTATTGTTGGTCTCTCACGGAAAAGTCGCAGTGCCTCTCAACTCAGCCAAACGGGTAGGAATTTTTATGTTACTCTTGACTTCATATTTGAGTTGTTGTTACAATATGCATTTTTTCATGTCATTTTATCACAGTAGTGTGTGGATGATGACAGCGTCCAGAAGGAAAAGGACCGTTTTAGACTACTAGTTCATCCCTTTGAAATGTAACAATGAAGTTTTCTTGCAGGGATCAAACAGCCTGCTTCAAAGTGAATGTTGGCCACTGTTGGAAATGTGTGTCTTTGCTCCCCAGGGGAGAAGCTCTGGCCACTAACTGCTGCTGCTGATGCCCAGGAGGTAGCTTTGATCTTCTGGCTTTTGCTTTCCCCTAGGTTCCTCGCCTGGAGCTTTGCCACATTCATTCCCAGCAATTTGCAATGGAGATGACATCTCATATTTTATGTTTATTGCTGACAACCTAACTTTCTTTTCAGCTTGTAAGCAACATTTACCACTACTGTCAATTTCCACACTAAGTCTTCATTTCCTAGAGAAAACTTCAAACTGTATTCTTCAGCTGCTGGGACCAAAAGGTTTTTTTTTTTTTTTCCTGCTGACAGTGAAGATATTCGAGGCTTTGCTACTTTAAAATTCATTTTCTAATTACATCTGCAAAAATAAATTATATACAACACTCCTACTCAGAAACGCCACTGTTAGCAATTAAGAAATTTGTGAGTCAAAGCAATGTCTTTTTTCAAATAGATGTTGCTAATTAAACATTAAAACCCTGGTATCTTGGAAATAATAACATATCTTCTACTCTAAAAAAGACATGTAGCATGGTATTCTTTTATAGCAAAATAAATTATAGGCAACTGGATTAAATCTAATTTCTGTTTGGATGCTAGGGGTTTTTATTGGAAATCAGAGTATATATTTACAACACAAAATAATATCAGCTTGTATTAACCCATGGACCCGGCTAATCTTGGTTTTGCAAATCATACTTTTCAAACCATATTGAAATAGTTATTTGATAGTATTCTTTAAATTCTGGTTACAGCATTCTGTATTAATGTAGATTTTGTTATTGTAAATTTTTATTTGGTGTTTTAAAATGCTATTTCTAATGCTTATACAGGAACATGATTTTAGTTCACAGATGCACAGATTACTTTTAAATTATTTCAAACATAGCTAATACACATAATTAAATGTTGTCTTGGCATAACTAATGTGGGGATTTTGATTGACAGATGTCTTGTACTTTTTAGCAATTAAAACTTTATTGCAATTTCTTATTGAACATGTGCAAACATCTACAAATCTGAAATTGCTGTAAAATAGTCTATGTTTTAAAAAGAATTAGAATTGCACGAAAATTGGTGAAGAAAAACAGATGTCTGGCTATTGAGCTGCATTAGGACAGAAGCAAAGCAGTCCTTGTACTGCGAAAAACCAGAACAACAGTGTGCTTGGCGTTCCAAACAAGCTTGAGAAAAGGCCTTCAAGAACGAAAATGCTATGGTGTTTAACTCAGTGAAACATTAAGCAATGCATACACTTTCTGAAACATCACATTCAATTAACGTGAAATTTTATGTCAGTAAAAAAAAAAACACTTATTTTTTATTAAAGTGAAAAATACAACTAAAACTTAGATAATATCTGGTATTGACCTATATAATAAATTTCACTTAATGAAAATTTTGGCAAGTATTGAGCACTTATATATCTGATACATCAAGCACAAAGACAAGCAAACATCATTTATTCTCTCAAGATATTTAGAACCTAGTCTGAGACAAATATTTCATCTGTTGCTCCCAGAGTCTGTGTCAGTGGCAGAACACTCACACACTGACCACCGTAGACGTGAGGAAATGAGGAGGCGGCTCAAAGCTCCTTATGTGCATCCGTCCGTAGATCACCCAGCATGGGACACATAGGAGGCAGAGGAGAAGTGTGCGGGGAGAGACTGAAGAGGAGTGAGTCGATTACCTTGGATGCCTTGAATTGACATTTGTGGAAATCCCCAGTGCAGATATGCGGATATCCCAAACATATTCAACTAAATCCGTCTACTTTTTGACAGAAATCTGAGAGTTACAAAGTTCAGACTATGCTTACAACTAAATCCTGTCAGAAGATCACAATAGATAAGAGCAGTAAACTGAGGCAATACTCGTTAGAGGATTGAATTGTAGGGCTGGGTTCAGAGAGGAGGTTGCAGAGAGGAGACGTGGTTTCTATGTAGTCATAAATATTGATCTTTACAAATACTGTGAATGTTGGTGAACTTAACTTTTTTAAATATTCCCTGCTGTGCCTTTTCTATGTATTAGAGAGCAGAACATAAGGCCTCTTTGTCATTGTTTTTATTAATTATTCAGAAGTACTTTATTGTAAAAATTTTAATCATGTTTAAAATTGGCAATTATTCCTAAGCACCAACTTAGTAGTTTTCACCTAGTAACAACAAGAATTTAGATCATCTATGTTCAACTACAGAAAAGCTAAGAGAATTTGTAATATACATAGCTACTACATACACAAACGTGTGCGTGTGCGTGTGCGTGTGCGTGTGCGTGTGTGTGTGTGTGTGTGTGTGTGTGTGTGTGTGTGTAAACAGGTCCTCCTTTAACTTATTATCTTTCCCTAATAAGCAATTAGTGTTGCATTAGTGTTGCCCATGTACTCATGGGTGTGCGGCTCTCCACTGGATCATGGATTACCTAACAGTGGCCACACTCTCCAAAGAAAGTCCCTCTTTCTTCTAAGGCGGGGGTGGGTTCATGAACATCAAGTGTTTCCTCACCAGTGTCTCATCTAGTAGTGTCTTATTGTTATTGCTTTTGCAGAATAAAACTCTTTAAAGCTGGTGGGTTGGTGGTGGCTCACACCTACACTCAGGAGGCAGAGGCAGGCAGATCTTTGGAGTTTGAGGCCAATCTGGTCTACAAAGTGAGTTCCAGGACAGCCAAGGCTACACAGAGAAATCTAGTCTTGAAAAATCAAAACAAACAAAAAGTCTTAAAAGTTATTGTTAAGGAAATGTCCTCTATGTCTACAAATGTGAATTTTATATTTTTCCTTTCTATATATGTAGGTTTTGAGTTATTCATTTGCTAAAATTCTTGTGTTATTTTATTTGTTTTCCTGTCACAAATTGAATCACTTGGGGTCTAATTCTAACTGAATCATGTGGGTGCTAAGATTCTTATCTATAGTTTACATACATACTTTCATAACATCTGAAAAATACTTTTTATAATTAATGTAACATATTTCAAAGTCCATGTGGTAGAACATAGGTGCCAACATAGGTACCAATATGGGGGGGGTGATTTTGAGTTCTATTAATGTTATGGAAAAGATAAGAGATTCAAAATACTATGATGCAGTTTTTAAGTCACTATATTTTATATACTTTTGTGTTGGCAATGCAAGAAGAAATGAAAGTCAACTTTCACAATTTACGTGTTTTTTTACTAAAGAACACATCTGTTACTAATATTTAGACTTTTCCTAACATATTTACTAGTTATTAAAATAGATGATTAATCGTAGCAATAATTTGTTGTTTATTTTTTACATCCTTAAGTTTCTAAATCATCACACCTTTTCACACATCAAAGGCTTCATGGAACACAGATCTGACTCCAGAGTCATCCTCTTGCTGTGACTCCATTTCATCTGCTGTGTGCTTTGTAATTAGTTCCATTCATATCAGCAGAGGGAAAACTTCCTTTCAGAGTAAAAATTCCTCGGGGTAAGACTTTTAATATAGGCTTTACTTCATTTAATTGGTTACAAATTTAAGGTGTAAACAGCCAAAGCAGCTGATCATGGGATATTCAGTAGTTGCCTAGTAAGTGTAAATGAGTGTAGTAAGTGTAAATGAGTGTAGTAAGTGTAAATGAGTGTAGTAAGTGTAAATGAGTGTAGTAAGTGTAAATGAGTGTAGTAAGACCAGAAATAGTATGTTTCTGAGCCAAGAACTCAGGTAAAGAAAAGAAATCTCTTAGTTTTGTTGGAACCAAATGCTTTAAGGTTTTCCGCATATCTGGCTATCAACAGAAATGCCGTTTTGAGGTCAAGGCCGTTGGAAGTAACAAGCTCTACGCCTTAGTAGGCACACGGAGCTGCTATGTGCCTTTTACTCTTTTGGGTCCTGTTTTAATTAACTATGAAGACTCCCAAAAACATCTGCAGTTAGCTGTTGGAAAATTAATAATTTGCAAATAAATAGTGTAAGTATGAGCAGTGGTAAGGAGGGACTGTGTAGATGGTTTTCCAATGTATGCATGTAAAAGGACTGTTGACTCACTATCCCCAAGGGCTTGAATTCTGTTTTGCATTGCAGACTTTTGAATTTGCAAGCAACACTAACACAGACTCGATCCTCTTGCACAGTTCTAAGTGAGCATCCTTGCAATGTTCTACTTCGGGACAAATGGGGTTTTCTTATTAAAACTGTTACTACCTTGTAAATTATAAAGTGATTCAGTAAATAGTTTTATTCTAAGATAAGTGGGATTTTTAATTGAAACTGTCACTACTTTGTAGAGTTTTAAAATTATTCAGTGGTTATCTACTGAGGTCTACTGTTTAACAACCAATTTGATATGTGCTCACCCGAGCACATATCTTTGTTTGATATGTATGTTCCAGTGGGATAGACATTCTTTAACAAATAGAGTGTAATTAGTCAAATTTCCAAAGCTTACCTTGAAGAGTTCCTTACAGAGGATACTAACCTAGTCTGTCCCTCTTTCCATCACTGAAGCCAAATAACTTTTGGATTTCAGTTGTATGCTGTATCTGCTATGAGGGACGAGGTCAGCAATTGTAGTTTAGTTGAGATATGTGTTGTAGAGTACAACATTGGCAAAGTAGCATCTAGAATGCTTCTCTTTAGCACGTGAGCTAGGAAGTAATCGAATGTTGTAAACAGGTGCTTTTAATCCTAAGAGTAACCTTGTTTGTGTTTGTGTTGTCTGATATATGCAAAATTCATTTCCTTTTACTGGCAGCTTTTTACTTGCTTAGAAAAATCAAAATATAGTT